ATATTCATATTTTTCAGCCAGATTGTATAGATCATTGATAAACCCTTTCTGTTTAAAAGTTTCCCTGTTCGACAAATAACTTGCCAATCTTAAAATGAAGACTTTTTTAGTAATAAAATGTTTGCATCTACACAATCTGTTGAAAAACCCCAATTTAGCCTTATCGATCCTTTCTCATGCCAAAACGTTGAATTGCTTTTGTTACTTGACGTTGTGTAAGTTCTAGCAAATAAATGTCTTTTTTGGTTAGGTTTGACCAAAGCTCACATCCAAATAACATGGCAGGTAATATTATGTTGATCCAGATTCTTAATGAAGTAAGAGGATTTGCATCCTTTACAATGCGGACATTGGCAATTGAGTAATACGAATTTTGGGCTTTTTTACATGCATTAACTACCATGTCTTTGCATTTAAAATCACTTCTCAAAGCGTTACCAACGTATTGTTGAGTATTTGCGTTAGGAATAATATCACTGCCTAAGAAGTAACACACTTGATTTCTGGCTTTTGATGTCTCATTGAATGTGACCACGGCGCTTTTGCCGTCTTCCCCAGCATGGTACAGTAACCTCCACTTGCTACTATATTCAGATACAATGTTTAGTAGGGTCTGTAGGTCAGCAGGAGAAGACGCCAAAAGAGTTGTATCATCCGCCACTAAAATGCATGGGATTAGAGTATCACCGATAGTTACGCCGACACCTGAGTTACATAGGTCTTCAATAAGACCGTTGATAAAGACGTTAAAATAGATGGCGCTACAGACCCGGCCCTGACCTGAGCCCTCTTTTATTTCAAAAGTTCTCGACATTTTTCCCATATATAATACGCTCGCCATTGTGTCGGTATAGCTATCTACTATTAACCCATGATGATAAAAATATCAATCAAACAATTCGAAAAATTAAGAATAGGGACCCCATGTCAACATTTTTTTCAAAATATTGAACCTATTTACTCAAAAGAGGATCTCGCTTTTCTGATTTTAATTGCATGAAAATATTATTCAACAAATGGTCTAAAACATCTTCAAAAATATAATTGTATTGAATGTCTAGTTTTGAAGATATTCATTTTCGATGACCAAAATGATGCTGAAAACAATGGATAGCACGAGTTTTCCCTATGGCAAAATAACATGGGATATGTGGTTTTTATTAGCTTTATTAACTTTAATGCATTTCAATACACATCCCCAGGGCTGTCAACTTGGGACCACCTAATATGAGTGACTCCAAAATGTTGGACACCTAAGTCCAAATCTGAACACTTTTGTCCAAATTTTGAACACCTTTGGCCAATTTTTAAACAGATATCGTCACCGGGGGGGGGGGGTAGGTACGAAAATTTCCAATGAACATGCGTGACATATACGGGATTCGCGTGACAAATCCGAACAAATTGCGTTCGGTTTTTTTCAGACGTTCGTATTTTTACCGTATCGTAAACATATTTCGAAAAAATTTCTACAGAAATATTTTTGCTTGACATTTACCAGGTAAAATGCGTATTTGCGTGACATTTTCTGTCACGCAAAAAAAACTGGCGTGACTTCAAATTCTTCAGCAAATGCGTGACAAATACGCAAATTGCGGGACAGTTGACAGGCCTGCATCCCCTTTTCAGAAATTGTTCATATAGTGTAGAAGAAACTGTTGATATGTTTAAAGTGAAAAAAGCAAGATCCTCTTTTGAGAAAATAAGCCTAACATTTTTAAAAAAGTGCCAGGGTGGGGCCCTAATCCATAATTTTTCAGAGAGTTGGACTGATATTTTAATATCATGGGGACTTCACTTGATAGAAAACATATTGTTTTAATATAAACCATTGTTTTTATGGCCACAAAGTACTCCTGGTGAAAGATATGAATGTCTAAAATCACTTGCCATACTGCACATGGACCTTTGGAAACCAAGAAATAATAAAATTTATAACCAATGAGTTCTGTATACCTGCTAGTACCATGTAATATTATGTAAAAATTGCATAAATGTTTTACGTAAATAAAGTTTATCAATATAAAAAACCTTGCCTATAACACAGGGAGATATGCATGATTACTCAATTAGTACAAAATCAATGAAATTAGCGCTATTTTATCACTCATCATATGAGTACACATTTAGTACTAAAAATGCAATAAATCAGTACTGTACTCATGTCATAAGTGCTCATTTAGTACTAATATTTACCGAAATGAGTACTCAGCTCTAAAGTGCCATGAGTACTATTTTAGTACTTGGCATATATCCCTGTGAATAGTATAGGAAAGTAGCACAAAATCACTTCACAGCAAAAATATTCTCAGAGGGTTTGCCAACATACACCCGGTCACATTTCCTACGGCGACCGTACGGTCTACCATTTCTGTGGTCAGTAATATTTCTACTCTTGCCGTGGAATTTCTGCGGTCGGATACTTTTGCAGTCACATTCTCTACGGCAGCCGAACGGCGTGTTTTGATTTTCTGTTGATTAACGTTAATTCTTTTTTTTTTTTATTTCAGCTACATCAGTATAATTTATAAATGAAGTTTGAAGTGTTAGGATAAAGTATCAAATAAAAAGTGCAAGTGAAAAGTGCAAGTTGCTGTGGCATCAGTGACCTTACATCTTACAGTATATGTATTGTGTTGTGTTTACAGCAAAGATATGACTGAAAACTGACATAAAACTGTTTTCAAAGGTATATTACCCATCAAACTCTACAGCAGACGCAAGTCAACGGCAAACCCGACGTGTGACCACCTTGGACCTTGCTGTGGTCTGACAACGGCCTGTGGATTTCTACGGAGACCGTAGCAATGAACAATTATTATTACTCCGAGTTATAATTTCTACGGCTACCCTGCGGCCTGTAAAAAACTTGATACGCCGTATGGAGACCGCAAAGCGAGCATGGTTTTTTTACGCTCGCCGCAGAAATTCATTGATATAATTGATCTGCCGTCGACGCATGGCCGCCGTACGACAAATGTGACTGGGATGTTAGAATAAAAGAAGATATCTCCGGAAGGATTAAATCAGACAGAATTTAAAATAATATTCAGCTGGTCTTGTAATTCTTGATAGCTGATGCTATGTGCAAAGTTGAGAGTCGGTGACATTAATTTATGAGTGAATTTTTAAAAGATGGTAGCCTACCGGAATTTAACACTACATTTTTAAGATCAATATTGACCATTATCAAAACATTTTTCCGTGTTTTGCTGAACATGGAAAGTATATACAGTACAAGTATATGGTTATAACTACCATATTAGCAGAGAGATGGTCTGGCAAGGAATATCCCTTTAAGATACACAGAGAGACTGTTTCTATATTGGGGGGTAAAAGTGGGGAGTTACTAATCGTATACCTGTTATGCTGTTGCTTGAAATTACATAACATTTTGATGAGCTTGTTTTTTGTCAATCTTTTTACAGGTTTACTCTAAAACAGTTAAATTTATTTCCAAATACCTGAATTTTGAAGTCATATTATTTTGACATCTTTTTATCTGTAGAATTTGGAAACATTTTATTTTCAGGAATTTTTGTAGCCCATTTTTACAGTTTATATCGACAACATTAAGATGTTATTTGCTATTTACTGAGTTGACATTTCTAGAGACTTTCTTCAAAATGTTATTCCATGAAATAAAATTGAAGTTAATTACATGAAATAATATTTTCCTAATTAAAATTTTAAAGGAAGAATTCAATATTTTAAAGTTAATTTCTGAAATTTCTGATTTTATAGCAAAAAGAGTTAGATGAAGAATCCGTTGACTCGTTTGACGAAGATGAAGAAGAAGATGAGGTTACATCAGATCAGACAACTACATCATCAGAGTCAATCTCTAGCAGCGAGGAATCAGATGACAGTGAAGATCAAACATCAAGGAAAAAACGAAGCAGGTAAAAGTGGAAAAATAATTTTTCTTTCTCTTAAATAATCAGTTGTTCCTCATCAGTGAGCAAAATTCAGTTTTTCCTTTTGGTCTAATCTCCCTTAAGACAGAGTGCTAATCATTTCAATAGATTACCATATAATTTCCAAATTTTTAACAGGGTGCAGCATATAGTTGTCTAATCATGATGAGTTGTATTTTTCTTTATAAATAAGCATGGCTCTATCATTTCATCAAATTTTTACCTGTAATCTGTTTTTCCTTCAATAATATTTGTTGTGAATGTCTATATAGCTGACACACTATATTTGAGCATGAATGAAGGCATATTTCACGTCATAGTGACATGTATTACATACCTTTATTCCCATGGTTACTTTGTATCAATGACGTCAAACATCTGTGTGCAAGTAGAATTTAATCGAAATGGATCATGTTTATTAAAGAATCTAATATCAAAACAAGGTAAGGGTGCTATATCAGGGTAATCGGGCAATATCGTTGGATATAGCCCGTCAACTTTCCCATTGACATCAGTATGAATGCTTCGCTAGGTACGTAATACAGCAAAATATAGCCATACAATGTGAAGGCTTCCTAGTCAACTCGTACCCAAGACAACTCGTACCCAAGACAACTCGTACCCAAGACAACTCGTACCCAAGACAACTGGTACCCAAGACAACTCGTACCCAAGATTATTTTCAGTATTATGGGTGAATATTAGGGAAAAAATTGAGTTTGTAATGCTTTCATGTTATCATGTGAATCAATAATAAGCCTCAATATTTTTTTGAATTTAGAAGACATTTTTTCTCAATGGATCAGTAAAGCATTTTTTTATTTAATAAAAGAAGTGCTTGAGGCGCTTGTTCTCAACATTTTTGTCAAACATATATATAAATAAATATAATTACAACATTAGATCTGACACTTGTTCCAAACACTCATAAACATACAATATTTTGAAAAATGATTATGAGTATGTGGAATAAAATATTACTCTTCACTCGAATATCCTGAATCTGTGACCAATATAAAATAATAGTCAATATATATTGACACTCAGCTCAAAATGTCAAAAAATTAAATCAATTTCTTCCGAAAATTCTTCTTCAAACTTTATGTTACAATTATAATATCTATATCTATTCACATTCCCAGTCCAACGCTTGATTCAAAACAAAATATATACTTGGGTAAGAATTGTCTTGGGTACAAGTTGTCTTGGGTACCAGTTGTCTTGGGTACGACTTGTCTTGGGTACGAGTTGACCAGTTACCATGTGAAGATATGATTATGTCACCACAACATGTGGTAAGTTGGTGACATATCGTTATAGTTTTAAACTTTTTGTGGATGGTGGTTGGTTTTTGATGGTCAGCGTTCATCATCTGTAACAAATGGCAGGTGGTGACATTTTGCATGTTATTGCCTTGTTACTACATAATAATGTTTCAATTTCAGGAAGGCAAAACTGAAGCCTCGACAAGATGATGATGCCAGAGATATTATACATGGGGAAAGGGTGCGAGGCTGGAGGAACACAAGGTTGAATAAAGAGAAAAGTAAGTGAATATAAGAGATATACACGCATGTTCTATAATTGAAGCTGCTCAAAAGTACAGGTGCCCAAAGAACCTCTATATCTTTTAGAATCTTAGATTATGGAGCATTTTAACATATTTTGACATTTTTTAACATAATAACATACATATACAGTGAATAGATTGTCTATAATTTTTTAATTAAATTTAATCATATTTGTAGAGTCTGATGATGAAATTGAGGAATTAAGAGAGAAGCCTCCCCCTCCATGGTGGGAAAAGTTTGTTAAAGAAGATGATGAATACAAGATGGAACTTAGTGGGAAGTTGATGCTTATGTTTGAGATTGTTAAACTGGCTGGAACCATGGGGGATAAAGTGTGAGTATAATACAAGATGGAACTTAGTGAGAAGTTGATGCTTATGTTTGAGATTGTTAAACTGGCTGGAGCCATGGGGGATAAAGTGTGAGTATAATACAAGATGGAACTTAGTGGGAAGTTGATGCTTATGTTTGAGATTGTTAAACTGGCTGGAGCCATGGGGGATAAAGTGTGAGTATAATACAAGATGGAACTTAGTGAGAAGTTGATGCTTATGTTTGAGATTGTTAAACTGGCTGGAGCCATGGGGGATAAAGTGTGAGTATAATACAAGATGGAACTTAGTGGGAAGTTGATGCTTATGTTTGAGATTGTTAAACTGGCTGGTGCCATGGGGGATAAAGTGTGAGTATAATACAAGATGGAACTTAGTGAGAAGTTGATGCTTATGTTTGAGATTGTTAAACTGGCTGGAGCCATGGGGGATAAAGTGTGAGTATAATACAAGATGGAACTTAGTGGGAAGTTGATACTTAAGTTTTAGATTGTTAAGCTTGCTGGTGCCATGGGGGATAAAGTGTGAGTATAATAATAGATGGAACTTAGTGGGATAGTTGATGCTTATGTTTGAGATTGTTAAACTGGCTGGAGCCATGGGGGATAAAGTGTGAGTATAATACAAGATGGAACTTAGTGGGAAGTTGATACTTAAGTTTTAGATTGTTAAGCTTGCACTGTGCAAAAAGCCAAATATAGTAGCGTATAAGTGGCAAACTATTTGTGAATATAGTTCAGTATGTCCTCACTATATTGTATTTGGTATGGGAAACAAACTATTCTTGCCTCAGAAGCGGAACATTTAGTATTGGTGGTATATACTCTACGATACTAAATATCGTTTGAACTATTCTCTGATTATTCTTAAGAGCCAGGAATAGTAGGATATAAGTACATAGAAAAGATGAGTATAGTATGTATTACGTAATCCAAAAACAAACTATACTCCTCTTATACGCGAGGCTATATATTCTTTGATGTGCCTTAATTTGCTTGGAGTTAATCCTATTTTATTTTTCAATTAAGCGCTAATGTAAACAAATAGAATCATGCATTTCACTTAAGAAAGCTAAATCAAACTTAATGTCTGAGATCTCATTAAAAATTTTATGATGTTGAACTATATGATTTTAAATGAACTTTAAATGCATTTTAAAAATGTAAGTCAATACAAAAAGTGGAATGAAAAATTTGGGTATATTTCAAATATAAATCGGTAAATTATTCATTCTCCGTTTTGAGTAAAATAAGCGCATATTAATTTGAAGTTTGTTTTTAGTCTTACCAAAAATCAGCAGCAATTTCGGTGTAGTTAAAATTAAAATGAGGTAAAGCGTATCGTGATATCTTTCTTCTTTGTCAGTTTTAAATTGAGAAATCCTGACTTTCCTATGACAAATTAGACCCCTAGTCAGGGAGGGGGTTCGGAGGTTTAGAGTGAAGCCATCTTGAGCAAAATTAATTGTTGTATAATTATGTGGCAGAAGTTGATGATGAACTTGGAGCACATCACATACTATGTCCAATAGAAACATACTCATGAGCCAAGTTTAACCTTTCAATGTAAGGATGTACTTTGAACATCATAAATAATGCGCCAAATTGAACTATACTAATGCGCCAAATTGAACTTTTTAATATACTGATGAATTTGGAGCATATAACATACTATGTCCGATTGAAACATACTCATGAGCCAAGTTTAACCTTTCAATGTAAGGATGTACTTTGAACATAACATCATAAATAACGCGCCAAATTGAACTATGATAATGCACCAAATTGAACTTTTGATAATTAATTATGTGGCAGAAGTTGATGATGAACTTGGAGCACATCACATACCATGTCCCATTGAAACATACTCATGAGCCAAGTTTAACCTTTCAATGTAAGGATTTACTTTGAACATCATAAATAATGCGCCAAATTGAACTATACTAATGCGCCAAATTGAACTTTTTAATATACTGATGAATTTGGAGCATATAACATACTATGTCCGATTGAAACATACTCATGAGCCAAGTTTAACCTTTCAATGTAAGGATGTACTTTGAACATAACATCATAAATAACGCGCCAAATTGAACTATGATAATGCACCAAATTGAACTTTTGATAATTAATTATGTGGCAGAAGTTGATGATGAACTTGGAGCACATCACACACCATGTCCCATTGAAACATACTCATGAGCCAAGTTTAACCTTTCAATGTAAGGATTTACTTTGAACATCATAAATAATGATGAACTATGAACTATGATAATGCGCCAAATTGAACTTTTTAATATACTGATGAACTTACAGCACATCACATACTATGTCCCAAATTGAAACATACTCATGAGCCAAGTTTAACCTTTCAATGCAAGGATGTTCTTTGAACATCATAAATAACGTGCCAAATTGAACAATGATAATGCACCAAATTGAACTTTTTAATATACTGATGAACTTACAGCACATCACATACTATGTCCCAATTTGAAACATACTCATGAGCCAACTTTAACCTTTCAATGTAAGGATGTACTTTGAACATCATAAATAACGCGCCAAATTGAACTATGATAATGCGCCAAATTGAACTTTTGATAAATAATTATGTGGCAGAAGTTGATGAAGAACTTGGAGCACATCACATACCATGTCCCATTGAAACATACTCATGAGCCAAGTTTAACCTTTCAATGTAAGGATGTACTTTGAACATCATAAATAATGCGCCAAATTGAACTATGATAATGCGCCAAATTGAACTTTTTAATATACTGATGAACTTGGAGCACATCACATACTATGTCCAATTGAAACATACTCATGAGCCAACTTTAACCTTTCAATGTAAGGATGTACTTTGAACATCATAAATAACACGCCAAATTGAACTATGATAATGCGCCAAATTGAACTTTTGATAAATAATTATGCGGCAGAAGTTGATGATGAACTTGGAGCACATCACATACTATGTCCCATTGAAACATACTCATGAGCCAAGTTTAACCTTTCGATGTAAGGATGTACTTTGAACATCATAAATAACACGCCAAATTGAACTATGATAATGCGCCAAATTGAACTTTTTAATATACTGATGAATTTACAGCACATCACATACTATGTCCCAAATAGAAACATACTCATGAGCCAAGTTTAACCTTTCAATATAAGGATGTACTTTGAACATCATAAATAACGCGCCAAATTGAACTATGATAATGTGCCAAATTGAACTTTATAATATACTGATGAACTTGGAGCACATCACATACTATGTATGTCCCATTGAAACATACTCATGAGCCAAGTTTAACCTTTCAATGTAAGGATGTACTTTGAACATCATAAATAACGCGCCAAATGAACTATACTAATGCGCCAAATTGAACTTTTTAATATACTGATGAACTTGGAGCACATCACATACTATGTCCCATTGAAACATACTCATGAGCCAAGTTAAACCTTTCAATGTAAGGATGTACTTTGAACATCATAAATAACGCGCCAAATTGAACTTTGATAATGCGCCAAATTGAACTTTTTAATATACTGATGAACTTGGAGCACATCACATACTATGTCCCATTGAAACATACTCATGAGCCAAGTTTAACCTTTCAATGTAAGGATGCACTTTGAACATCATGAATAACGCATCAAATTGAACTATGATAATGCGCCAAATTGAACTTTTTAATATACTGACGAACTTAGAGCATATAACATACTATGTCCCAAATTGAAACATACTCATGAGCCAAGTTTAACCTTTCAATATAATGATGTATTTTGAACATCATAAATAATGCGCAAAATTGATGTACTAATGCGCCAAATTGAACTTTTTAATATAATGATGTACTTGAAGCACATCACATACTATATCCCAAATTGAAGCATACTCATGAGCCAAGTTTAACCTTTCATTGTAATGATGTACTTTGAACATCATAAATAATGCGCCAAATTGAACTATACTAATGCGCCAAATTGAGCTTTTTAATATATTGATGTATTTGGAGCACATCACATACTGTGTCCCGTTGAAACATACTCATGAGCCAAGTTTAACCTTTCAATGTAAGGATGTACTTTGAACATCATAAATAACGCGCCAAATTGAACTATGATAATGCGCCAAATTGAACTTTTTAATATACTGATGAAGTTAGAGCACATCACATACTATGTCCCAAATTGAAACATACTCATGAGCCAAGTTTAACCTTTCAATGTAAGAATGTACTTTGAACATCATGAATAACGCGCCAAATTGAACTATGATAATGCGCCAAATTGTACTTTTTAATATACTGATGAACTTAGAGCATATAATATACTATACTATGTCCCAAATATACCAATACGCGATAACGTTTAATTTCGTTCAGTTTAGCAACCTCTCGTTTGAAGAGCTCTCATGTATGGTACACCTCCATCTACATCCGGGTTCTTTCCCATTGGATTACACAGGGGTGCTATTTTCAATGCCGCACTGCGGCTCTATTAAACATTTATGTAGAGTTTCATTTGCACAAACGATAGGTATGTATGTAATTAAGATATATGACAAAGCAATTTGAGCTATAATCCCCAAATCCGAAGTAATGTGTAGTTAAAAATGCCGTCCAATTCCAGTGACGTCACAGATATCCCAGAAATTGCTCAGACGCCATCGAATATCGAAAAATATAAATAATGTTACTTTGAATCTCCGATTATCTTTCTGATTATTGAATAGATTGGATTATATAACTATGTTTGAGGGCTGATGGAAGATCAGAAGCTGAGAAACGTTCAGAGTAATCGACTCGTTCGGCAGGCCAATGAAAATTTGTCCCTTCCAAAGCGATGCATCATGGGAGATATTTATGTAAATTACCACCTGAACTCTTATCGCGAATAGGAGTATTGAAACATACTCATGAGCCAAGTTTAACCTTTCAATATAATGATGTATTTTGAACATCATAAATAACGCGCCAAATTGAACTATACCAATGCGTGCACCAAATTGAACTTTTTAATATACTGATGAACTTAGAGCATGTCACAGACTATTCCCAAATTGAAACATACTCATAAGCCAAGTTTAACCTTTCAATACAAGGATGAACTTTGAACATAATAAATAGCGTGCCACATTGATCTATACTAACGCGCCAAATTGAACTTTTTAAAATACTGATGTACTTGGAGCACATGACATACTATGTCCCATTGAAATATACTCATGAGCCAAGTTTAACCTTTCAATATAAGGATGTACTTTGAACATCATAAATAACGCGCCAAATTGAACTATGATAATGCGCCAAATTGAACTTTTTAATATACTGATGAACTTGGAGCACATCACATACTATGTCCAATTGAAACATACTCTTTCACTGTAAGGATGTACTTTGAACTTCATAAATAATGCGCCAAATTGAACTATACTAATGCGCCAAATTGAACTTTTTAATATACTGATGTACCTTGAGCATATCACATACTTTGTCTCAAATTGAAACATACTCATGAGCCTAGTTTAA